CCCAGTCCCGGTCCCCTCCTGTCCCAATCCCGTCCCTCTCCCCCAGCCGTAATGTCCCCCCTTTCGTCCCGGTGCCCCGGTCCCCTCCTGTCCGGATCCCGTCCCTCTGCCCCAGCCATCCTCCCCATCCCGGTTCCCCCCCGGTCCCGACGCCGTTCCCCGGTGCCCCCCGCTCACCACTCGGTTCCACACGGCTCCCTGCTTGCTCTGCACGTCAGGGGTCAGGCGGATGAACTGGGTCATGACCATGGCGTTGCCCAGCAGGTCCCACAGCCCCGAGCTGGCCGAGCCCACACCTGCGGCCCACACGCACCGTTGGTACCGGACACACCGGTACCGGGCACCGGGCACCGTCCGCCACCGCCACCACAGCACGCCCGCCCGCCCCGCTCACCCTGGTACGGCTTGGACAGCGAGTGCTCGCGTTTGAGGTGCTCCTCGGTCTGCTCGGCCCCCGACCCGCCGAGCCCCAGCGCCACGGCCAGCAGGGCCAACCCGGCCCGCCACCGGCCCGCCGCCGCCATCTTCCCCCGCCTCGCCGCGCCCCGCCCCGCGCTCCCATTGGMTGCTCCGCCCCRCYGYGCCCGCCCACTGGCGAGCTGMCAATGATGATTGGTCKTGCGRGCTGTCTGTCAAYTRGGAGCGCGCRGRGCRYGATGGGYAATGTAGTTCTGGGTGCCTGCGCCCGGGGATGGCAGCCGCCACTGAGCCGAGTGACCCTCTCCCCCTTGCCGGGTCCTAGTGCCACCCTGCCCAGGTCCTGATGCCACCCCCGGGTGCTAGTCCCCCCCTCCGTTCCAGGTCCTAGTTCTCCAATAATACCCCACCGGGTCCTAGTGTTCGCTCCCGCGTCCTAATGCCCTCCCTCAGGTTCTGGTGCTCCCCCAGATTCTAGTGCCCCCCAACTCCAGGTCCCGGTGCCCACCGAGATCCTGATGCCCCCTCCCCCAGGTCCCGGTGCAATCCCACGTTCTGGTGTCCCCCCGAAGTATCAGTGTGCCCCCAAGTCTTCCTTCCCCCAGCCCAGGTCCTTCCCCGGCCGGATCCTACTGTTTCCACAGATCTTCCAACCGGAATTCTGCACCCCTCCACCAGGTCCCAGTGCCCCCTGCACCCCCGCCCCTGTCCCCTTCCCCAGGGGACACCCCAAACTCAGCTCCAACCTCCCAAAGTCAAA